TCCTAAAAAATGAGAAGCTAGCCAAGTGAATGGAGGGTCAAGAGCTTTCTAAGCAGAGTTCAAAGCCCTTGAATGTGAGAAGACTTTGCCTTTTTGGAAAAAAAGAGAGAAAGCCATTGTGATTGAAGCCTGGCCAGTGAGACTGAGAGGATTAGAGGTGTCAGAGAGGTGAGAGGGGCCTGGTCATACAGGCCCATGATAGAGGGCATTTGGATCTAATTCTAAGTGCAGAGCAAAGGGGGGACAGGACTTAATATTTTAAGATCACTCTTTGCTGCTTTGAGGAGAATGGGTCAGACAGGCAAAGAAACAAAGTTCTTTGGGAGAGAGAGACCAAAAGAGAGAATGACCAGGTTGCATGCGGCAGGGGAGGAAGGGGTTGCGGTGGGGAGTGTGGAAGGGTTCAAGGACATGAAACTTACATTGGGTCTTGAAAGAGAAATGTGAATTGGGGTGTGGGAAGGGCAGCGAGGAGACCAGCCAGGCAGAGGGAACAGCAGAAGCAAAGGCAGGGAGGTGTGTAGCCCATGCTGGGAGAGCAGTAGAGAGGTAATGTAGCAATAGTCTCATACCAGAACCTGCAACCCCTTTACTGTTCTGAAATGCAGTTTGCAGGTGATATAATTACTTCCACAAATAATTTTTAAAAACTATTAAACTACCCCAGCTATAAAATATAGGAGAATTTAAGCAGAAGTATGTGATTTAATGTGTAAATATTCAAGCATCTCTATACTAGAAGACATAATGAATTAATCAGATGCTTGTACCTACCTACAAGGAAAAGGTTCAGTTTTGAAGAGTTAAGGTAAAATTCCATAGAATATTTCCAATATTTTATATTTAACATTTTGAAATGAGGCTAAATGAGTATGTTTGTATCTATACACAGAGTCACCCTGATGAGACAGTATAAGCACAGACTGATATTGGTGTATACATTGCTAAATCAAATATCAAATGAGTTTCAATGCTGCTGGTGACTTAATTTTTCAAAACGGTGAACAACTTTTGATGAAGCTGCAGGAACACAAAGTACAGTCCTCCCTCGACTTACTTAGTAATTGTGTTTCTAGAAAATTCAGTATGTGTTAAAACCGTGCAAAAGTCCTTTGAGGATATATGAAATTAAGAGTCAGAGCTCTGGGGCTTGCCTGGTGGTGCAGTGGTTGAGAGTCCGCCTGCCGATGCAGGGGACACGGGTTCGTGCCCCAGTCCGGGAAGATCCCATGGCCGCTGAGCCTGCGCATCCGGAGCCTGTGCTCCACAACGGGAGAGGCCCGCATACCGCAGAAAAAAAAAAAAAAAGAGAGCTCTAATCTCAGGTAACTAAAATCAGATTTTTCAGTGTTATGAAAATTGTGCAAGATACAAAACTTCTGTTGTTTTGTTGAGCTGGATCCCTGACCCCCATCCACTGAATACCAAGGCACCCCCCTCCTATTTATTATGACAACCAAAAATGTCTCCATGTTTTTTAACAAAAGGACAGAACTGTCCCTCAGTTTCCACACCTGTACAGTAGCTATAACTACCTTCAATCTCATAAGGATTAAATGAGATGATACAAAGAAAATGTTAGTATCAGGGCCTGTCCCACCATATGGATTCAATAACCTGATAGTTAGCAGCTGAAAATATATGTTTAGCAGTTGAAAATATAGATTTAGTCGTAAATAGAAGAGAAGCTAGGACTGGAGATGAAGGTTTAGGAGTCATGTATGTAGGTTCATTTAAACATTGCAAAGCACCAGGCAGAAACTTAACATTCAATTTAAGAGGGATAAAAGTAGGGTCCCATGGCCTTCTCCTAAACTCTGTAACATCAAGGATGAAGAGATATGGCTAGGCAACAGTTCATAAGAAAAAGGCAGTCAAGCCTAGATTAGCCATGGTATAATTCAGCTGCTTTTTAAAAAAAAAAAAAAAAAAGCACTGTCTGACAGTGTATTAATAGTGTAATGTCCAGATCATGGAATGTTGAGACCCATACTCAAGGAACTACATAGGCTGTGTCTGGCGTTCATTCTGAGAGCCAGGCTTTAAGAGGGCTGTTGACAAAGGTAGTCAAGAGGAGAGAAACTGGAAGGAATATTTAATGCTACTGAGTCTAGATATTTGAAAAAAATGATAAAGGAGAAGACATGACCATTTTTCAGATAATTTAAAGACAACAGTTTTTGGCAGAAGAGAACATAAACCTGTTGTTTGTGGAAAACAAATCTAGGACCTTCTTCTGGAAGTTACAAGAAAGCAAATATTGATTTTGTAGTAAGCGATCAACCAGACGCTTGCTCTTTTCAGGGATGATGTAGAATAGAATTTCATGGATAGAGATGATTTCTAAAGACTTTTTCAACTTTTGAAGTGGGTGTGGGAATAGACTCCAGGATGGATCACCCCGCCAGTCACCTGTGTTAGTTTCACCGATGTGGCTGCCTAACAGGGTCACTTGTTTCTAGCAAGACCCAACGCAGATTCCTCCTGGGCCTGCACTCATTTCAGAGATTTGACTACCTGTAAATAGCTGAACTCAATTGGCAAGAAATCCCAACTCTCAAGTGCCTGTGGGGAAAGAAAGCCAAAATAGGTAACACTCGGTGCTATCTATTTTCTGACAAATTTACTTTGACTTTCTCTCTGCCACTTGCCCCCAAACCCTTCACCCTCTGGTTTTCTCAGCCAGTTTGCAGCTGAAGTTTAGGTCACCCTGATCTAATCATTCCAAAATAATTTTTCCTTTTTTAGTCATTACTGTGTTAGATAAGAGGTCAGGGAAGCCTCACGTCAGTTTTTCATATAGTCACCCCCCGACCTAGTAGAAAAACTTTCCTTCTGTGAGTCTTTCTGAAGTAGTGCTCTAGAACAGTTTCTCACCTGGGGTTGGTCCACCGACTCCCTCAAAGTGTATGTGAAACTGTGTGTGTGTATGTGTGTGTGTGTGCGTGCACGTGCTCACGTGTGCGTGTGCGTTCATTTCTCTGAGGAGAGGGATATCAGCATTCATTTGACTCCCAAAGGGGTGTATCTGTAAGAAGATTAAGAGTCACTTAAACCAGCCTCTTCTTAGGTAAGACAGATCCCCATTTTTTGTTTTTATATTGCGTGTCTTTCATCTACCTTTAGTTAAATTCCAAACTGAGGTGTGGTGAATTGTTCAACAAGGACCAGGTTCATGGGAAGCCTCCCTAAGCTCCCTGCTTGGACTGGGAGCCCTTCTTCTGTGATCATAGAGCACTCTCTGCTCACTGCTGTGAGAGCACTTTCTGCATTATATCGGAAGGGTCCATTTATGGGACTATCTTCCATTATGAGATTTGAAGGGAGGGCCTGTGTTGTATTAATTTTCATATTCCAAACATTCAGCATCATACCAGGTATGTAACAGATGCTCAAAAATGTTCTTGACCTGAACCATTTACCCATAATAAGCCAACAGATTCTTCTTTCCCTCCCAAGCAGCCAAGGTTTTAAGCACTTAACCTGAGCCAGGTATTATATTAGGCACTGGGAAAACAGAGGTAAGCTCCCTTCATGGAGCATATGGGCTATATCCAGAGGGGACGTGATTTTTGCCACGCCCTGGAGGTGCTGCATTTGAGCCATATGCATTTACAATAGTGCTGACCTTGCAAAAACTCCCCTTTTTATAACAGATATTACTTATATGCGCATATTCTATTTTTACCACTCAAAACAAAAATGAAAAAGCTTTTTCTAGTCTTCCTTAAAACCATCCATTAAAAATGTCTCTCCAAAATCCTCTTTCTCTTTGAGTAGTGTTAATGCTTTGCCTCCAAAAAGAGAATAGTTTGAAGATACTGAGTAGTGTCAGCATTTAGGACCATGTTCTGCACATAGAGGTGTTTTTTGTTTTGTTTTTTAAAATTCAAAAGGAAAAATTCATGATTCAAAACACATAAAATAAAAAATAAAGCAAAACTTTCCTGCCTGGTTCACTAGTGTGTTCTTTTTCTTTTTCAGCTTATACATATCTTAAGTTCCATGGATTTGAGTTTATGTCAAACTACGTTCGTAGTTTTCTAACTTTTATTTAAAAGCAGGAACACCCTTTCTTCAAACCTAAATAAAATCAAGCAGAGCAGTTTGCTGAAAGAAAGAGCCTTTGCTGCTATCCCCAGTGCCCTAAGGGGATGCCAGGGAGCCTGGTTTGAGAACTACTGGACCAGATGGTATTTAATGGATCAGTAGTTGACTTGGGTAGGATCTGTCCACAGAACTAGACATAAGGAGTGCCAAGTTGAAAGCACTGTGCTGTCTCTTTTTCAAGTTCTTTACACTTAAAGAGTTAATGACCTTGAGGAGCATAGCAAAAGTATTTCAAAAGATATGCTGTGTCTCCCCCACCTGGAGACTCCAGTTTAGTAGGTATGAACTACTATAGATGCTCCAGCATCTATAATTTTAAATAACTCCACTAACCTAGGAGGAGCCTTCTTTCATGTGGTCTTTGAAAGTGCAAAAAGTTAGTACATTACTTAGGCCTCAAAATATCTGCACTGCTTAGAGGGAATGTGCCTTTTTGGATTCCTGAGTTAAGCTTCAGAGATTTAAAAAAATACTATTTCCATTGCAGTCACTGTTCCTGCTGCCTGAGCCACTTCCCCCATATATCTGCATAACTGTGTCTAGTGTTTATTGTCAGTCTCCAACCTCTGAAATGTAAGCTTCATTTGGGTGGGCGTTTTTGTCTGTTTTGTGCATTGGTTCATCACATGCTCTAGAAGAGTGCCAGGCATGTCATAGGCAGACAGTAAATATTTGTTGAATAACTACTATTAGTGGGGTTATTCAGATATGTTATTGGTTAAAAAGACTTCTTGAATTGCTCTGGAAACCTAACCTCTTCCATCTATAGCAATTTCTGTAAGAGAGTGTTCCAAGTGCCCAAAACCAGATGTGTAAGTGAAAATGTGTAACACTCCTATACAACAGAGTTGGTTGGTTCTTGATGGACTGTGACTTTATTTTCAAAACAGGATGTGATGTGGTCTGACTTTGGGTTTCCTGGAAGAAATGGACAGGAAAGTACATTGTGGATCGGCTCCATGGGGGCCCATACACCCTGTCATCTGGACACCTATGGTTGCAACCTAGTATTCCAGGTACAAGGAAGGTAATGCACATGTGCATGCACATGCGTGAGGGAGAGAGAAAGAGAGAGAGAGAGAGAGTGTGTGTGTGTGTGTGTGTGTGTGTGTGTGTGTGTGTGTGTGTGTGTGTCTTTGTCTTTGTGTGTTGCACAGGAAGAGGAATGGGTGTCGGGTAGAGGGCAGGACTCCCTGCTCCATCTTATCAGCCTGCCTCATGACCGGGGCAGATCTCTTAACCTCTGGTTCAGTCTCCTCCTTTGTGAGATAAGGGGAACAATATAGACGGTGGTGTCTGTGTGTTGTGTCTCTCAGCCACGGTCAGGATTACCGTCAGCAAGCTGATCCTAGAACTCTAGGAGTACACTCCCAGTTCAGCCAGACAGTTGTCTGCTTAGCTCTGTAACGTACGAGTCTGCGTTAGTAGCCGTAGAGTGTAGGGGGTGGGACTTGCTCTCTTGTTTTAGGAGAGCAGTGGGAGAACGATGACTGCTCGTGCCCTCAGGCTTCAGCGGTGCGGCATGAGATTGCCTCGTCCGTGCACGCGTGCTGGCTTTTCAGGAGCAGGAGAACGCGGTGACTGCTCATGTGCACCAGCCCCAGCCGGGGGCCAGGGCTGTGTTGCAGCCTCCCACACTCACAGACTTCAGCTAGGGAGCAGGAGAATGCCGGGACCGTTTGTGCCCACCTGCCTGCTCCAGGGCTGGGGAAGTGCTCTGGTCACTGGAGCTCTCTGGCTTCAGCATTGTGGCAGGGTAGAGCCACAGTTGCTCGCCCCTGCATCCGAGCTTGCCCACCTGTGCCCGCAGGTTAGGTGAGGAGCACAACAATGGCGTCTGCCAGTGCTTCCATCCTGGGGGAGCATTTCCATCATTTCCCACCCCTTCGGTGGATACTGTCAGATTCTAAATGACTTTCCTTCACGTGTAGTCTCAACACTTTTCAAACTGCTGTTATTTTGCTAGGGTTTGGGGCAAGTGAGATATACGTGAACCCTTTACGAGGGGAGTCTCAGTTTCATGTAGCACTTGGGGACACTTGGACACCTGTCCTGTTGGTTTCCTAAGCCAGCTGCTACGGGGGCTCATCTCTGTGGTATAGATCCCAGGGGCCGGGGCTCCTCATGTGGGGTGCCAGCCCCTAACTTCCCGGGAGAAGCCTTGTCTGGTGAGGTCCCTTCCTGTTGTGTGCCACCGCGCGGGGGCTGGGGCTTTTGGCGGGAGCGTCTCTCTGCCTCTCCTGCTCATCTCGATGTAGTTAGTCCTTTTTATTCTTCATTGTGGAGCACGTGTTCAGCTAGTTCTCAGGTTCTTTTCAGAGGGAACTGGTCTATATGCACATGTGTATTTTTTGTGTCTGTGGGAGGAGGTAAGTTCAGGGTCTTCCTCTGCTACCGTCTTTGAACTGCTCCCCCCACGTGTGAAGTACTTTGAAAACTATAAAACTGTATGAGATAGTTCCTCCTGGATTCCTCAGGTCTTTATTAAGCAGCCTAGAACGTCTGGGTACATTATTAATGCACTATGGTTACAGCAGTGAATCAAGTGTGCCTGGTCCCTGCCCTCATAGAGTTAATAGTCTGAACCTTAAACTTCGTTAGAGAGGGCATCATTTTAAGTAGCTGCTTTCCGTGTGTTCTGAGTGGAGAAATAAGCCAAAGAAATTCAGTTGGGAAAACATTACCAAAAAATACGTGGGTTCTTTCTGTGATATAAAATTAATATAGCTTTACTTTAACTTTGTCGTAGACCATATTTTCTGGCCTCATATAGCTCTGGAGTAATAAAATAACTAACTATTCAGGAAATATTTATTGAGTATCCTGCCGTGCAGATACCATGTGTTACAGTAGGAACAGAGGTGAACAAGTAAGACACCTCTCTGCCCTAAGAGAGTGTATGTACAGTTAGAGTGCAGGGAAGCCCACGGATTGCTGTGATATATCTAGGCAGAATGAACATGCCCTTGAGGAAGGTTTCATAGAGCCATGCAACTGAAAAGGAGAAGAGAAAATGTTCCTGTTGGAAAGATTAGGGAAGATTTCAGAGGGGAGTTGCCATTTGGGATGGGTTTCAAAGGGTGGGTGAATGTTCAAAAGACACAGGTGGGAGGAGCAAAGGGACCAGCATGAGCAGAGCCCCAGGAAAGCGTGGGGTATATAGAGGCCCCAGTGAGTTGTCCGTGTAAGTTGTGCATTAGAGACAGAGGATTAGTAGGAAAGGCAGGGTGGAGCCTGAGGGTCTTAATGCCCAGGCAAATACTGCTTATTCTCTGTTCTTTCAGCATCAGAACCAAGAGGTTTTTGAGCCAGGGATGACATGATGATTGACTACCTTTTATGATTAAGAACACAAGGATGCAAATATATTACATTTTAAACTTAGCAAAGCAAATTGTATGGGATGGTTATCATCATGGCTGTTCCTTTGGGAAACACAGCTATAGTGCAGGGGTCTGGAGATCTGTGACCTAGTACTGGGTCCACCACTAACACAAGCCCAGTGAATGACACTGAGCAAACCCTGACTCCCTCTTCCACTTCTTTGAATGTAAGATTAGACTGATGATCTCTTAAGGGTCCTTCCAGCTCTAACGTTCTGAACATCCTAAATGCCAAAAATTCTCCCAAACTAGTCATAGTCATAGGTCTAGTGGGAGGGAGCAGCTTTATCATCTTTAAGGCAAAATAAGACTTTATATTTCCTAGTTTGAGAAGAGCAGTCAGCTCTTTTGAAAGGACATGTTTTGAAAAGACATGATAGCCCCTCTGTAACTGTCAGGGGTCACTAGAGGGCTTTAGGGCTTGTCTCAGAACTAGGTTCTTTTCCCTCTCTCTTTGCTTCCCCATCTGTATATTTCTGTCTGTCTGTGTCTCTTCCTTTTTCACACTTCTCCCTCCTTTGCTTCAGATGTCCTCGCTCTGTTGGCTCAAAGTGTTGGTGTGTCTAGTGTTTTGTGAGTTAAGGTTTATCACTTCCAGTTTTCAAAAAATTTTAAAGTGACTGAAACATTTTACAGTTTTCTTTTTGAAAATTCCTATATTATACTACTTTTTAGTTGTGTGGCATCATTCGTGCATTTCTCTTCCTTAATGGGTCAACTTAACAAATGTTTAGGTTAAGGAATTTACAACCCCAATAGGGAGAAGTCTGGAAACGATTTGGTGGGTAGTTACTCTGGTTGAATGGTTGCTCTGCATAAGAGAGGAATCCAGAGATTTCAACGGGTAGAGATTATTCTGGGGAGCTCTAGACTCAAGGATGGAAACAGTTTATGAGGAGGGTGACTTTGATTTGAGATAAGAAAGAATGATTTTACAAAGGAGCGCCTGTCCCTGCAAAGAGGCTGCTCAGGGCATCATGAGATACCCACTAGTTGCTGCCCTTCCTTTACCAGGTGTCTGCAGAGGAGATTCCAGCCCTGAGTGAGAGATGGGCCAGGTGACCCCTGCGGTTCCTGTGTTCCTTTATGGATTGAATGAAAATGAGTGAAATTGAGCACTTAGCTGCTGCCTTCTTACATGTTTTGTCTCAAGTTTAGAGTACTAACTTGTATCTTATTTTTTTAACTAGGAAAAGATGGCATCTCTTTCCTCCTGAAGATACTCCTTTCCTTTATCCAACTAGAATCCCTTATGAGGAATCTAGCGTGTTCAGTAAAATCAATGTTGTCAATCCTGATTTAAAACGTTTTCCTCAATTTTGGAAGGCTCGAAGACATATGGTTACCCTGAGCCCCGGACAGGTAATGGGAGCTTTAAAACATTGGTGACCTGTCAGTGGACACCCCAGCTATAACTTCTTTCAAGTCTTTATGCCACGTGCCTCCCTATCAATACAAATGACAATGGTTCCTTCCCTGCTGCTCTGCTATTGGAACGTAGCTTCCCCAGCTATAGGCTTCACACACAATCCCTGCTTCACAGGTCATGGGAGGGAGATGGGAGGAGGGAACACAGCTCCTCCTGCTGGTGAAGAGGAGAATGGCCTGTGGAGGAAGATCCAAAAACTCAGGTTTTTTTGTGTGTGTGTTTTGTTTTTGCGGTACGCAGGCCTCTCACTGTTGTGGCCTCTCCCGTTGCAGAGCACAGGCTCCGGACGCGCAGGCTCAGCAGCCATGGCTCACGGGCCCAGCCGCTCCGCGGCATGTGGGATTTTCCCGGACTGGGGCACGAACTCGTGTCCCCTGCATCGGCAGGCGGACTCTCAACCACTGTGCCACCAGGGAAGCCCAAAACTCAGTTATTTTTATTCAGGTTAAGAGAAGGTGTCAAGGCATGAGTACTTGAACATTTCTGGAACATTTATTCACAATTAATATCTGTTCAACCACGATAAAATCCAGACACACAAACACAGGTTCGAATGCATCCAGTTAGTGGGCCAGCAAAGGCAGAATGAACTAAGAACGATTTAGGGTTTTTTGTTTGTTTGTTTTAATTGAAGTATAGTTGATTTACAATATTGTGTTAGTTTTTGGTGTACAGCAAAGTGATTCAATTATATATATTTTTTCAGATTATTTTCCATTATAATTTATTGCAAGATATTGAATAGAGTTCCCTGTGCTATATCGTAAATCCTTGTTGCTTATCTATTCTATGTATAGTCCTCTGTGTCTGTTAATCCCCCACTCCTAAGTTACCCCTTTCCGCATAACCAAACATGATAATTGTAAGTTTGTTTTCTATGTCTGTGAGTCTGTTTCTGTTCTGTATATAAATTCATTTGTATCATGTTTTAGATTCCACATGTAAGTGATACCATATAATATTTGTTGAGAATGATTTGCTTTTAAGCAAGAATGGATGTTACTTTTGTAACTGACTGTCTCTGAAACATTTCCAAAGGTTTAGTACTTAGTGCTGCTAACCAGTGGGGAATAGCACCTTTACAACACTGGCATTTGCTGTCTGATATTTTAGTAACATTTGCAAGGTTTTCTTAAGTCTCTTTTTTTTTTTTTTTTTTTTTTGCGGTATGCGGGCCTCTCCCATTGCGGAGCACAGGCTCTGGACGCGCAGGCTCAGCGGCCATGGCTCACAGGCCCAGCTGCTCCGCGGCATGTGGAATCCTCACGAACTGGGGCACAAACCTGTGTCCCCTGCATCGGCAGGCGGACTCTCAACCACTGCACCACCAGGGAGGCCCTCTTAGTCTCTTAAGGAGACTTTATTCCTTTGATTATCCCTCTGACCTGCCTGTGTTCCTTCTTTTGCTCCCTTCTCACTGGCTCTTCCTGCTTCCTTTACACTCGAGTGCTCTAGCTCAAACGATTTCACTAAGTTTCCGCAACCCATCAGCAGTCATTCCCCATTCACCTATCCCCCCCAGCCCTTGACAACCACTTTTCTGTTTTCTTTCTGTATAGATTTACCTATTCTGGACATTTCACATAAGTGCAGTTGTGCAGTCTGTGGACTTCCGTGTCCGGCTTTTTTCACGTCGCATAATTATCCTCAAGGTTCATCCAGGCTGTAGAATGTTATCAGCACTTCATTCTTTTTTATGGCTGAATATATTCCATTATGTGGATATACATTTTATTTACCCATTAAACAGCTGATAGATATTTGGGTTGTTTCCACCTTTTGGTTATTATGAATAATGCTGTTATAAACATTTGAGTACAAGTTTTTGTATGAGCATATATTTTCAGTTCTCTTGGGTATATACGTAAGGGTGGAATTGCTGAGTCATATGATAACTCTGTGTTTTTTAACTTTTGGGGAAATTGCCAAACTGTTTTCCACAGCAGCTGCACCATTTTACATTCCCACCAGCAATCTATGAGGGTTCTATCTTCACATCCTCACCAACACTTGTTATTTTCCTTTATTATTATTATATTACTACAACTATAGCCATTCTAGTGGGTGTGAAGTGGCTGCTAATTCTTTTTTTCTTCTATTTTAATAGCCAAATTTGAATGAGTATTTCTGTCTATTGTATCAGTCTTCCTTACATCATGCTGTTTCCTGAATCCACCATAAACTGGCTCTCTCTCTTACCACTTGACTTGAAAGTATACTCTATGATAGGACATTAATGACCTCCTAATGACTAAACCCAGTGGCTGAAGTGGACGTTTTTAGTCCACTTCACTTCACTTTAGTTCTCTTAAAAGGAGGTCTCTTCCCATCTCCACCTTGTCCATAGCAGGTGCCACCATTTTCCTAAATCTGAAGCCCGGAAGCTTCAGATCATCTCCGTCTGCTGTACTCAGCCTTCCACAGACTCTTGTAATGACTCTGGATAAATACAGTCCTTCTTGATTCTGCCCATTGCTTTTGTTTGCTATATCTTCCTATTTAAATCTTAACATTTAATTTAATAATTGGACCATTGCAAGAATCTCCTGTCCTTCCCAGACTCTCCCACAATGTCACTGTTTTAACCATCCCCCTACTCAGAACTTCTCAGCAACTCAAAATGCCTACAGGATAAAATCCAGATTCTTTATTCTGAACTCAGGGCCCTCCACTGGCCCTAACCTGATCCCCCACTTTATTCCCCTTCACTCCTTCTGCAGTAGTAAGACTGGCCTACTTGCTGTCCCTTGACAGTCCCACCTCCCTTGCCCACTTCTCCGTCCTGGCATGTCCTCATTCTCTCTTAGTCCTGGTTCAAATCACACTTTCTCCATCCAGGTTGCCCCCCTAACCTCCCTAGAAGCATGCCTGCTTCTCCCACCTCTGAAGGTCTCTAGCACCAGTGTCCCCTCCTCTGATTTACCACTTACATAATTTATAAATTATATAAGTGGTAAAAAGTGATTTACCACTTTTCTATATATTATTTTTTCATTGGCTAGATTTTAGACTTTGAGAAGGCTGAAACTATGTCCTATGTGTTTACTTCTGCCCTTTCTCAGAACTCATACAACTATTATGTGATGGAAAGGAGGAAAAGTTGCAATCTCAGAATCCTTTACTAAGATTTGGATGCAGACAGAGAAGGTCCAGGATAAAGGAGAGTAGAGACTGGAGAAGCTAGTAATATCCTTTGTAGAACATGCAACTTGTTAATTTAAGAAAAGGAATAAAAGGATTGTGGGGTTTTTTTCTTGTTTCCCTTTCCTATTACAATCTTAGTATAAATTCATTTGAGTTTGTTTTTTTTCCTTAGCAGCTTCATTTAAGATCTGATTCTGACATGAAAATAAAATGTTCTGTTCTTGTGCTAACCATTTTTTGTTTGGTTTTCAGGTTCTGTTTGTCCCCAGACACTGGTGGCATTATGTGGAATCCATTGATCCTGTCACTGTCAGTATAAACTCATGGATTGAGCTGGTATTTTTTTTTTCTAATAAATGTAATCTCCCTGCTTTTAAGATATACAGTGTCTGTCTATAGAACTTGGTGATTAATTTTCACCAACACTGCAGTGTTACTTTGTTTTACTGTTCCATAATTTATGTATTCTGTGCTGTTGATGAATAGTGAGGTTGGAAATAGGATTTTTGTGACACACCATTCTCTTTCTTTTAAGGGCACAAAATGGGCCCTGATGTTGGTGTGCCAGGTCTTCTCCCTTGACCGGTGTTGTTAGGAGAATCATGTTGGGCCTGGCTGGACCTGCCACGTGTGTCCCACGTTGCCAGTCCCATCCCCCACCATCTGGGCTGGAAATACTTGCTTCTTGGTTCAGTGTCCTCATTAATAATTGCAGAATTCTCAGTCCTGACTTACACATTTTCTCAGAGCAGTCTTTCAGTGCTAGGTGTTATCATTTTATTTCTCCCAAAGGCTTTTCCCCTCCAATATGCTGTGCTTAATCCTGGTTGCCTGCTCTACTTGACGATTAGAATGGCTACTCTTATGGCCCAAGTCTGTCTCTTCCACCTGAGGTGTCGTTGCATCTTTGTATGCTTTAACCAGAGGCTTGGACTGCACCTGTGCCCTCGTTAACCTGAGGCCTCGAATGCATCTCTGCTCTCCTGTACCCAAAACCTTGACTGCATCTCTCTCCTCTCTTTGGCTGCTGCACCCTCCCCTCACTCAGACTTTTCTTATCCTTAGATAATGGGAAGGGCTTTGGCACAGGGGGAGCATACGGAACATTGTAACAGGAAGCTCTATTGTGTGGCTTAGAAGAGTCGTAACCCTTGGGTGAGAAGTATAATGGGAGATCAATGGACTTACAGTTAGAAATGCTGCTTAACTGATTGCCTTGCTTGGTATCCCCCTTTCTGCTCCAGTGTTCAGAATGTCCCTCTGAAAAGAAGTTGGTCAATTATAGTACTTAAGTCATTTAGTTTCTTTTTCTCAGAGATCACATTTTTATGTTGCCTGTAGTCCAATGTCTGGAATCCTTTAATAATATGTATTTGTCTAGTTTTCCAGTTGTTTATCGTAGGAAAGTAGTTAAGTTACTGTTACTCTATCACAGCCAGAGGTGGACATCTCAGTTGAATCATTTTTGTGCCCATTATCTGAAATATGTTATTAATGTTTACATTTTTTTTAAGATAAGATTTCTTTGTCTCTAAGGGTAGTCAACATACTATTCTTTACTGCATGGTCTTATACATATTAAATAAAAAATACTAGGTGCAGCGCAGAAGGAGAGCCACTGCAGGCCAGCTTCTCCAACTCTGAAGGCACTCCAGGGATTGGAAACCATGAAATCCAAACATCAAAGTGAATGGCTTAATTTGCTATACCTCAACTCATCTTCAAGTGTTAATTAAAATTATCCACAGAAAACTGAATCAAAATTAAAATTAAACACATATATAGAGAAGCAAGAAGAGCTACAATCCTGCAGCCTGTGGAATGAAAACCACATTCACAGAAAGACAAAATGAAAAGGCAGAGGGCTATGTACCAGATGAAGGAACAAGATAAAACCCCAGAAAAACAACTAAGTGAAGTGGAGATAGGCAACCTTCCAGAAAAAGAATTCAGAATAATGATAGTGAAGATGATCCAGCACCTTGGAAAAAGAATGGAGGCAAATATCGAGAAGATGCAAGAAATGTTTAACAAAGACCTAGAAGAATTAAAGAACAAACAAACAGAGATGAACAATACAATAACTGAAATGAAAAATACACTGGAAGGAATCAATAGCAGAATAGCTGAGGCAGAAGAACAGATAAGTGACCTGGAAGACAGAATGGTGGAATTCACAGCGGGGAACAGAATAAAGAAAAAAAGAATGAAAAGAAATGAAGACCAGCCTAAGAGACCTCTGGGACAACATTAAATGCAACAACATTTGCATTATAGGGGTCCCAGAAGGCGAAGAGAGAGAGAAAGGACCCGAGAAAATATTTGAAGAGATTATAGTCAAAAACTTCCCTAACAAGGGAAAGGAAATAGCCACCCAAATCCAGGAAGTGCAGAGAGTCCCAGGCAGGATAAACCAAAGGAGAAACACATAGTAATCAAATCAGCAAAAATTAAAGACAAAGAAAAATTACTGAAAGCAGCAAGGGAAAATTGACAAATAACATACAAGGGAACTCCCATAAGGTTAACAGTTGATTTCTCAGCAGAAACTTTACAAGCCAGAAGGGAGTGGCACAATATATTTAAAGTGATGAAAGGAAAGAAGCTACAACCATATTGTAGATTATTCTACCCAGCAAGGATCTCATTCAGAGATCCTCAGAGAAAGCAAAAGCTTTGCAGACAAGCAAAAGCTAAGAGAATTCAGCACCACCAAACCAGCTCTACAACAAATGCTAAAGGAACTTCTCTAAGTGGGAAACACAAGAGAAGAAAAGAACCTATAAAAACAAACCCAAAACAATTAAGAAAATGGTAATAGGAACATACATATTGATAACTACCTTAAACGTGAATGGATTAAATGCTCCAACCAAAAGACACAGGCTGGCTGAATGGATACAAAAGCAAGACCCGTGTATATGCTGTCTACAAGAGACCCACTTCAGATCTAGGGACACATACAGACTGAAAGTGAGGGGATGGAAAAAGATATTCCATTCGAATGGAAATCAAAACAAAGCTTGAGTAGCAATATTCATATCAGATAAAATAGACTTTAAAATAAAGAATGTTACAAGAGACAAGGAAGGACACTCCATAATGATCAAGTGGTCAATCCAAGAAGACATAACAATTATATATGCACCCAACGTAGGAGCACCTCAATACATAGGGCAAATGCTAACAGCTATAAAAGAGGAAATCGACAGTAACACAATAATAGTGGAGGACTTTAACACCTCACTTACACCAATGGACAGATCATCCAGACAGAAAATTAATAAGGAAACAAAAGCTTTAAATGACACAATAGACCAGATAGATTTAATTGATATTTATAGGACATTCCATCCGAAAACAGCAGATTACGCTTTCTTCTCAAGTGCACACGGAACATTCTCCAAGACAGATCACATCTTGGGTCACAAATCAAGCCTCAGTAAATTTAAGAAAATTGAAATCATATCAAGCATCTTTTCTGATCACAGCGCTATGAGATTAGAAATAAATTACAGGGAAAAATACGTAAAAAACACAAACACATGGAGGCTAAACAATACATTACTAAATAACCAAGAGATCACTGAAGAAATCAGAAAATACCTAGAGACAAATAACAATGAAAACACGACAGTCCAAAACCTATGGGATGCAGCAAAAGCAGTTCTAAGAGGGAAGTTTATAGCAATACAATCCTACCTCAAGAAGCAAGAAAAATCTCAAATAAACAATCTAACCTTACACCTTAAAGAACTAGAGAAAGAACTACAAACAAAACCCAAAGTTAGTACAAGGGAAGAAATCGTAAAGATCAGAGCAGAAATAAATGAAATAGAAACAAAGAAAACAATAGCAAAGATCAATAAAACTAAAAGCTGGTACTTTGAGAAGAAAAACAAAATTGACAAACCTTTAGCCAGAGTCATCAAGAAAAAGGAGAGGACTCAAATCAATAAAATCAGAAATGAAAAAGGGGAAGTTACAACGGACACCGCAGAAATACAGAGCATCCTAAGAGACTACTACAAGCAACTCTATGCCAATAATATGGACAACCTGGAAGAAATGGACAAATTCGTAGAAAGGTGTAACCTTCCAAGAGTGAACCAGGAAGAAATAGAAACTATGAACAGACCAATCACAAGTAATGAAATTGCAACTGTGCTTGAAAATCTTCCAGCAAACAAAAGTCCAGGACCAGATGGCTTCACAAGTGAATTCTATCAAACATTTAGAGAAGAGCTAACAGCCATCCTTCTCAAACTCTTCCAAAAAATTGCAGAGGAAGGAACTCTCCCAAACTCATTCTATGAGGCCACCATCACCCTGATACCAAAACCAGACAAAGATACTACAAAAAAAGAAAGTTACAGGGCTTCCCTAGTGGCGCAGTGGTTGAGAGTCGGCCTGCCGATGAAGGGGACATGGGTTCGTGCCCTGGTCCAGGAAGATCCCACATGCCGTGGAGCGGCTAGGCCCGTGAGCCATGGCCCCTGAGCCTGCGTGCCTGGAGCCTGTGCTCCGCAACGGGAGAGGCCACAACAGTGAGAGGCCCACGTACCGCAAAAAAAAAACAGTACTAGCAAACAGAATCCAGCAACACATTAAAAGGATGATATACCATGATCAAGTGGGATTTATCCCAGGGATGCAAGGATTCTTCAGTATACACAAATCAATGTGATACACCATATTAACAGATTGAAGAATAAAAACCATATGATCATCTCAACAGATGCAGAAAAAGCTTTTGACAAAATGCAACACCCATTTATGATAAAAACTCTCCAGAAAGTGGGCATAGAGGGAACCTACCTCAACATAATAAAGGCCATATATGACAAACCCACAGCAAATATCATTCTCAATGGTGAAAAACTGAAAGCATTTCCTCTAAGATCAGGAACAAGACAAGAATGTCCACTCTCACCACTATTATTCAACATAGTTTTGGAAGTCCTAGCCACGGCAATCAGAGAAGAAAAAGAAATAAAAGGAACACAAATTGGAAAAGAAGAATTCAAGCTGTCACTTTGCAGATGACATGATACTATACATAGAGAATCCTAAAGATGCCACCAGAAAACTACTAGAGCTGATCAATGAATTTGGTAAAATTGCAGGATACAAAATTAATGCACAGAAATCTCTTGCATTCCTATACACTAACAATGAAAGATCAGAAAGAGAAATTAATGAAACAATCCCATTCACCATTGCAACAAAAAGAATAAAATACCTAGGAATAAACCTACCTAAGGAGGTAAAAGACCTGTACTCAGAAAACTGTAAGACACTGATGAAAGAAATCAAAGATGACACAAACAGATGGA